ACTAAGAAGGAGCAGCTGTCTGTCACAGCAGGGACAGATTAGGATTGGCTCGTGCTGTAAAATACGAGCTAATAACAAGGCAGGGTTCATTTCTTAACAGCATTTTATTAAACTCTCTCCAGAATTTTGAAGTTTCAGAAGTTAGTTGTTCTGCTCTAATCCAAATCTAAAGCCATCCAGAAGAGTCTGAAAGGAGGTGCTTAAAATTCATGGCATTCAATGGAAACACACCCGCCCTCCCCCTCCAGTTCTGCTCAGCCACAGCAAATGTCCTAGTTTCTCGTCTGGTGACAGAATGAAGGATTTGAAATGAAAACAGTGTTTTTTACTCATCCCGTGACTCCATCATGCTTTCACTCTCTGCCTCCTTTAATCTCCTCCTTTGGAAACCAGTCTGAGAACCCACCCTCAAAGACCACATCAGATAATACCAGCACACTTAGATTAGGCATATCTAAATTGTTCATGCTTTGGGGGCACATGGTGAAGCCATTAAATGGCTTGTTTTTACCCTTTAAGGCCTTGAAGGAATCTGCAGTGGAATCAGGAAACAGAGTAGGCAAACTCCTTCAGCAAAGTCATTACAAGCAAATCTGGCTGCACAAAGGGGTAATTTCAGCACATCAGCTCTGCTACGTGCAAATAATTCCTTCACAATTCACTAACATTAGCAATCAGCAAGGAGTTCCACAGCTAAGCTGAGGGCCAGCAAGCCTCTACTATACTGAACAACAGTTCATTTCCCACTAGTCTGCAAAAATGAACTGGCAGCCAGAACCTATTACCATGTTAACAAAGGAACACGTTAGATGGGATAACAGAGACAGATGCTGTGCTGGAGACAGATTCATGGAGGTTAGGCTTAACTGATCAGAGGAAAATTCATGAACAGCTTTGTAATAGGAACCAGAAATAAACAGAAATAAGATAATTACTACAGAGCTGGTTGCAAGGACAGACTTTTTTCACCATCTTCCCTGAAGCACAAAAAAAGAGTAATTTGTTAAAATAGGAGAAACAGTGAGAAGTGTTTAATATCAGCAAACAACACACAAAGCCCAATGAGAAAGACTGTGCAGCTGGACACTGCCATGGGCTGCACTTACATTGAGAGCCCAGTAGGATATCCTATGCAGAAAAGGAGACTAATATGTTTGTTCTGTAATAGTTCTCTGAAATGTAGTGGTATCTTAAGAATGCTAGGGATGTGCTGGTAAGTATCTATCACTAGCTGTTTACCACAAGAGGAACAGCAAAAAAAAAAAAAAATTCTCCCCCACCTCTATCTGTAAAGGCGAACAGTCCCTCATGACTTTCATCTGAGAATTTGTGGATTACTCAGCGGTCCAATAGTGGATCATGTACTCTCACCATCTGTAACTATATCTCCCTTCCAGATATTACAGTTATGGATTTCCCTGCTGGGCCTGTTCCTATCTGCTCCTCCAGCTGCACAGTTAAAAGCATGTTATTGATCAATGCACTGTTCATCTTCATTGCTGTTTCTCTCTCCTAACCTCTAGAAGTGACCGAGACAGCATATCATATGCCAGGAAGCAAGCAACCTGTAAACAAACTGAGCATTCAAGCCAAGCTGTTCTATCAGAAGCATTACCCACTTGTACAGGACAGCTACAATAAACCTTTCAGAAGGTCCATCTACCAATTCAAAATTTCAGGGTGAAAACAATCCACCCACTACACCTTGGTACCTGCTTTTGAGGAGAAGTTTAATAGTTTGTCTTAAGAGGACTGACAGCTGGACTGAGGTTGTGACAAACTAACTGTACACTACCATGTAAGAAAGCAGTAACAATGAGTACATCCAGCTCATAATGCCAATCTCAGAGACAGAGACTGACACCCTACTGTTCTTTATAGCAGTGTTTCTCAACCTTTATTTAAAAAAGTACCCCTTTTTTTAAAAAAAAAATTGTAAGTACCCCCCAGTACCTACAGTTTTCAGGCTTTTTTTTTTTTTTTTACCATTGCAACACATTTGTTTCAACAACTTAATCATAGCCGGGCAGGCGATGAAATTTTTGGGTGTAAAAAGAACAAAAATAATAAAGTGCTGTAAAACTTAAAACAAAAAAATCAGTTTTCTCCAAATTTCAGTTGTGTTGACGTACCCCCCAGACTTGTCTCGAATACACCTAAGGGTACTCGTACCACTGGTTGAGAAACACTGCTTTATGGTCCTCCCCAAATAGCATAAGGAAGAGTAAAAGCTTTATGCTTTCCCAGATTTTCTAGAAATTTAACTTCTTCCAGGAAAAGAAACGATAAAGCTTGGAAATCTAAATGGACATTCTTTGCATATCCCTTCAATATCTTAAACAGCCCACTCAAGTCTTTTGAAGCTGTGAATTTTGAAGCCCAGGCAGCAGGGAGAGGAGAAAAGTTATGCAAGCTGTTATGCATTCATGGTGCATTTAGTTTCAATACTGGGAAATTATTTATGGCAGGGTTTGAAGTATCGCTGCAAAACTCCACAATTAAGGACTCCTCACCCTCTTCTCAATATAAAGGATAATTTAGTAAGTTCTACTGCAGCTGTCTCTGTAAAAGGCTTGCTAGAGTTGCTCTGTTCATTGGAGTTCATCCACAAAAATCCCTAGCCCAGCTGAGCTGCTGCTTGCTGTAGAAGGACAAATGCCACAAGTCTGTGGAATGTGTGTGAAATGTGGCAAATGAAGGCAGCCATTTGCAAGGGCTTCCAGCTCTCTCATACCTAGTGATTTGGGGCCGGGGGGGAGGGTTAGGTGCCACAACAATCAAGGCCCCATATACACTGGAAGGATAATAGGATGTTGTATCACTCCCAGGGGGGAAAAAGCATCATTTATGCAGCCTTAGTCCATGCATTTAAACACTTCAAATAATCACATCAGAAGTTTGAGGCTCGTACATCAAAAACCCATCCTACTATTTTCCCCCATCCTCCATTTTGAGGGTTTCATATAACCATAACCCTCTACCCCATGCACGTGAAATCTGCCTCCAGTACACATTACGAACAGCCCTTTCTGAACATAGGTACCTTGACTACTAATACAGAACGTGATCATTTGGCCTGAATGTTTCTTTGCACACATGGTTAATACCTTTAAACAGTGCCAGTTTTAGTCACCAGTAGCTCTGGGATTTTAAGACAGACAATGCTGATTACCTCAATTTAAACTGAGTACTTCTGGGCAAGCATTCAAAGGTTTTCCCACCCTACATGGTGATGGGGTGTAGGAGGAAGCCACATGCATTTAATATTTTCACTAAGGCAGCTACTTTGTCCTATTAGGAAAGATACAACACACCATTCACCCCCATTGCTGTAATTTGGAATGGGCAGCTCTCTCTCATTGCCACCCTTTTAGTGCCACTGAGGAGAACCAGATTGCTCCCCAAAAATCTCATAGGTATCAACAAGCACAGTCTAACAATTATTGTATAAGGAAAGACCTATATATTCATGTACCTTGTAACTCATACCACCACCCATTCTCTGCTAATTCCTTTAACACTATTTCCCACAGGCAAGTTTTCCTAAAAGTTTACCTAAGTTATTTGGCTCTTGCTAAAGGCTACATTTTATTGGACACTTAACATGAAAACCCAAACTTCTAAGGTGTATTAAAAGCAGTTAAGCCGAGCCATGAAGTAGGAGGGAATACAAGGAGGCAGAAGAAAATGGGCTGCATGAGACATCAGATCCAAGCAGCAGAAAAAAAAAATGAAGACAAGGAAGGAGTAAAGGTGTTACACACAAAGAGCCAAGCAGGGCGTACTCAGAAATCGGGTCCTCCTGCCACCAGGCTTGAACGTCACCCGCTCAGATGCACAGTTAAACTTCGCACAGCCTGTGATAAAACAAGAGGGAAGAACAGAGAAAGGAGAGAAGAGGAGAGGAGACAGAACACAACTACAAGATGTTAGCAACTTGAGGTTAGAGGGGTGAAATGCAGTAACATGGCACACAAGAACAAGCCTCAAGAGCTGGCATAGGGGGTATATACACAGTACAAGGAACAAGGACACTTCCTCCAATCAATACATGTCAAGGTTTTTTTGCTAAAACAATGCTATCTTACAATATCTAATCCTGTGGCAATAAGACTGCATTGCACAGGAGAGTCCAAATCCTAGCAAAGGCACTCTCTCAATTACATAAGACACTGCACAACTTCAGGATAAAAGAGGTTATGGATTAGTAGCGCCAATATTTCCAAAACAGGTTAGTGGAGAAGGGGTAGGGAATCACAAGAATGAAAAGTTTCCGAAGGAGCGGTTTTCCACCTTCCATTCTTTTATTTGTTAATTCTTTTTTGCCATCAGTGCCCATTTTACTCCACATACAACAATTCTTGCAAAACCACCACCAGCTTGTTGAGACTGCTACATTCAACTAGTCTTACAGGAACATTTGCAATGTGTATTTATAAGATATCTTAAATGGAAAAAATTGAACTGCGTATCATAGACATGAATAAAGTTATTCAAAAATAGACCAACAGTCCTTAATGAGTGGAAAAAAGGAGGCCCCACAAATACCAAGCAGAGCCTTCCAGAGACTGACTAATGTTCTAATGCCTGATCAGAAGGATAAATGCCCAATCTGAGGGCTATACAGAAGAGTGCTGTTATGTACACCCCCATCCACTGTGTGCCCGTGCTTTACATCCCTATCTCAGAATTTAAGGCGATATGACTGCAGAGTTAGCTGTGTTTTCTGAAGGATTTGTTCCCCTCACTCAAGTTTTTCAAACCTTACTTCTAATAGCAACACTGAAATACTTTACCCCTTCATTACCTCACTTCTAAATTTCTCATTCTGAAAACTTAGAAATCTAAGTATGAATAGTGTGCTAAGCCTGATGGAGACCAATACCCTGATCAGTCTCTAAGCACGAGCCATACCCTGAACTCAATCTACTGTATTTCATGTCTTGCATCCCCAGGCTGAAAACTCCCTGACTTAGCTTTAATTCCAGACAAGTTCTTACCTTGGCCTGGCGCAGAAAGGCTTGGTACCGAAATAGCACCATCACTGGTAAAGGCAGAGTACAGGTTCTCACTAGAAGGAGATGGTTTAAGGGGCTGTAACAGATGATTCTGTCCAGTCTCTGGGACGTTACCAGGAGGATGAAGGGTCTGCTGGGGGGGCAAGACTGAGGGGGCACTTTGAGCAGACAGGGTGCCTATAAAAAGAAATCACAATCAGGACAGAGAACATAAACATTAAGCTTCCCCACCTCAGCTCAGAAGCTTTCCCATTGGACAGAAGGAAGAGAAGGAATAGAGTGACTGAAGCTGATGAATCCTTGGGCAATTTAGCAGGTAAAATCCACAGTGACTATATAAGAATTAAAATCTCTATCACTGGGGGGTAGTTCTTTAAAAAAAATTAAAATTAATGGAGATTGCCTATCTCGTAGAACTGGAAGGGACCTTGAAAGGTCATCGAGTCCAGTCCCCTGCCTTCACAGCAGGACCAAGTACCATCCCTGATGAATTTTTGCCCCAAATCCCTAAACAGCCTCCACAAGGAATGAACTCACAACCCTGGGTTTAGCAGGCCAATGCTCAAACCACTGAGCTATCCCTCCCCCTCATACTTTTAGGGGAAGGGTTTTTGCCAGGATTCTTATACCTAGGTTGTCATGCCTTACCAAAGAGCACAGAGTGTACTTTGCAGTGGCTGATAAAGGGGTCAGGAGCAGAGTTTGGAATAACTGATTTTTAGAAAGGCTTCTGACAGTCAGATTCTGCCTCACTAGCATGTGTCAAGATAGCTCCTCCACTGCGTGTGAGAGTAGATTTAAATAGTGCAGGTGACAAAGCATGGGAGAAAGGATGCTATTACTTGGACAGACACCAGTCTATTGCTGAGAATCTGGTTTTGAAAGCAAAAGCCTGCTTTAATAGGGAGATTCATCTTGTGTTCTGTGAGCCCTATAGAGCTGAACACACAGCTCATAACAGTCCTCGGAATTTTTGTTTCTTATCTTTAGAAAAGGGAAATGTTTGTCTTTGGGAGTGTCATCTATAAAATCTGATTTTTTTTTTAAGTTTAGCATTGTCATATGAGAAGCTGATAGCACTGGCAACCTTGTCCATTCAGTTCTGGGTTTTTGCATTGAGACTACTAATAGGCAATTAACACTAAAATTGCTAGGCACACCATCAATCCCTTTAACGAAGACCACTGATGCTGTTTGGGGAAAGAAAATTCACTTGAAGACATGTGTCCTGCTGTGTCCTATGGACTCACTGGAGCCACTTCAACAAATTTCCATTCACAACACTGGCTTTCCCTTTATCCTTGTGTCAATGGCACTCAAGGAGTTTCAGAAGGACTCGTGCTGGGAAAGGAATTTTGGTTTTCATGGACCTATTTTTCTGACTACTGTTGCTAGTTAGGAAAATTGTGTTTTAATAAGAATGGCTTCCCTCACAACCTTTTTCCTCAATTAATCCTGTAATTACAAATATGCTTAACTTGTGACATTGCAGTCACAGCAGACTGAAGTAAAAAATATTATCACTTCCTTGAACTAAGGGGATATTGTGCTGTTAAGCACTTAAAAAAATAAAGACCTATGCAGCAGCAAAGGAACAGAAATACCGAGTACAGTTTTCTACTACCAAATTAGCACCAGTGTTAAAATCCATTTTTAAATGTGACAAGAACATGCAGGAATTAAATAAGTGGGATCCAAGAGATCCTAGTACAACCAAGTTGGCCTGACTTTTTCCTCGTGTTTTAAAATTCATTCTTTGACACTGGAATCCCCAGCCCTTGCCAGCAGAAGCACTATCATTAATCTCTACTGAATACATACCTATCAAAAGCAATTAAGAATGCAACTATGGTTTTCAAAATGCTCTTAGAAGAAACACACTATATTTGAGTTCTAATCTAAAAAGCTGAAGTGGCCAGTGAGACTACAAAACACCATTAGTAAGGGTTATATGAAAAAGGCCATTCTCCAAGGCCAGACTGATGGGGACCTAGTAGACTCCTATGCTAAGCAAAAACAGGGAGATGTACAAACCCAGATGAGTCAGTCAATAAGTCAGCTTCCTCTGTGAGAAACAGGCAAGAGATTATCTCAACCAACCAATCAACCCACCCATCCATCTGAAGGAGTCCTATGATCTATTGTAAAAAGTTAAGGCAGAATCAAAAGGTAATAAACCATCTGCTTTGCATGTCACATTATAACCTGTAGGATATCTTACCTAGCAGCTGAGGACTCTTATTGCCCTGGGAGCTGCTGCGGCTGGATTTGCTGCCTTTTCCTTTAGTAGGTCGTCTTCTCCTCCCTGAGAGAGGAGCAGCGGGGGGAATGATTACTGCAGGGGGCACCTTTCCCAGTTTGGTATACAGCAATTCAATCTCCTGCTTCTGGCGACTCTGCAGCTCTTGAATTTCTTTAAGGTGCCTAAAGAATTAAGAAAATGTATAAGAACTTAATAGTCCTGTCCCTCCTCACTGAACTGCTTGCTTTCCAAGCATGGAAATGCTGACCAAGAATTGTAACAATGTCTAGAATTCAACGTAAAGTTTGCATTTTAGCACAGCAATGATAAAGCCAGAAGAGGAGCAGGGGGAGAACACCAATAAGGTCTGAAGCTTCAGCATTTACACTGTAGGGCTGGCAAGATTCACCCTCACTTTCATAAGACACAAGGACTTTGATATTTCCACTAGACTTGTTATGGTCTCAGATTCTTCTTTTGTTTTACATGTACAAGATCTAAAGCTGCCAGCTATTCTTCGCTGATGCTTATGCATGAAGTCTAGCCTATCTTAAAAAAAATAATACACCAACTCAAGCATCTGAGTTCTGACCTATTGGTCCTCATCCCTGCAAGGTCAGGATGAAAATTTTTAAGTGCCTGTAGCTTAGTTCCATTTTCAACGGTGATTTTGGCACCAGATTATGCCAACATATGATACATGTTTATACAAAAGAGACAGCAGTTAAAACGGCATAAAAATTGTAAGTGCGTATTTACAGAGATCACCACATTCATTTATCAATAAATGAATTTTGCCCTACATGAACTCTGGCAATTACTACAGAAAAATATATTTAAAAAAGAGGCTCATTTTAAAATCTGTCCTCTTTTCTCTTTTTGTTATGAGAGCCCAGACCTGGATATGGAAGAGAAATTGAAACTAAGCAATTATTATGTACAATTTACATATGATAAATATCATTCTGAAAGAATGAATCTTACTTTTCACGCAACCGGTGTAGCTCTGATTTCAAGTCTTCATCTTCAATCTCTGACTCATCACTGCTCACATAGGAAGAATTGAACGAGTTGCTAAGGCTTTGGATGGGGAGGCTTATCTTTGAACCCAGTGGTTGGAGAGAGTCTGGGCTACCTGAGCCATCATCCAGGTCCTGAGCCAATCCACTTAGGAAGGCCGCCTCCAAATCAGATGATGGCCCATTCATAAGTGGAGACTGCTTGGACTCCACCAATTCTGGCACCTCTTTCTTTGGAGTCATGGTGTGAGAAGAAACTTGTTCTGAATCCACAGAAAGAGGAAGAGTCATTGAGCATTCTTTCTGCACACTGGTAACCTCATCTTGAGTCCTGGACACAGAAAAGCGACCCACTTGGTCCGTTGCTGTAGTCACTTGAAAGCGCCCGACCTTAGTTGGCTGCCCAGCCTCAGAGGGCAATTGTATAGGAGGTAATGTCTGTGAAACAACGCCATCTGTCACATCTACGGATGTCATCCCATTCAAAGTCTGTTTCACAAGAGTACTCTCTGGGCTGCTGCCAGACAAAGATGAATCAGAAGAGGTTGTATCAAAAGGTACAGGCTTA